CACTCTAGCGTTTAGCAACACCGCGGCCTTTAAAACCTATTAAATAAATGAATGATGTAAATTTATCAATCTCTTATTAATTAAATTTAATTTGGCTAATTATTTATGTTTAAAAAAAAGTAAAACTTACCACCACAAGGAGTAGGAGTATCGAAGTGAAATATTTCATTCTTATCGCGAGTGTGTCTAAAATTAATTTTATTTTTGAAATATAGGAATAAAGAGGATAACTACAGCACGATAAAACTCCATGATAACTACTAAAATGTGAATATCATAGGAGCTAGGTGCCGATCCACGCATATTACATTGATCCGATCCGATATTTATATTGATTTATAACCTCCCTTTGAATCAAATGTAAATTAAGAAATCAATATTTTTTTATCTAAAAAATAGAATTATGCCTTTAATTTCAATTTTTTATTATTTCTAAAATTAAGACTATAATTCAAAAAATATAAATATTATTATATATTTAATAATATATCCAATTAGTGTTGTTTAATGGCTCGTATTGAACTTGCATTTTAAAACGGCTAACTCAATATTTTAGCCAAAAAAATATTTCATAAGCCTAAAGATACTATAATATATGTCTAGACCTTTGTTCCTTCTATGAGCAAACTCTTCAGGGCTGCGTAATATTTTTCTGGATGAAATATCGAGTTAGACACCACATTTGATGTTGGTGTGAATGATTAAATTGTAATATTTATTATAAAAAATTAATATATTCTATTTTTTTTAAAAAAATATGAGAAACTCTAGATTTTGGGCAATAAAATAATAAAATAACGTTAATTATTTAAAAAGATTTAAAATAAATAAAACTTTGGGTGAAACTTATAAAATACTATAAATCTTTTTAAAAAAATTAATAATATTTAGAGGTTTTGTGCATTTGCATTGTTTAAAGAAAAAAATATTTAGAAAATATTATAATAATGTATAAATAAATATACATGACATAAAATAACACAAAAAAAGTAAAAAGATCGGTTAACGGGTATCGGCCCGATCCGATATTTTTATAAAACTCTAAATATTGATGCCGATCCGATTCGATATTTAATATAGGCACTGCCATACATAAAAGTATCGAAATTTGTTTCAAAAAATAAATCATTTAAAAGGTTAGTGACCATGGTAATATATTAGGAAATAAAAAATAATTTTTCCCAAAATGATTTAAATCGTGAATTAGTTCCATATGGCTAAATGCAATAATGGTACTAGATAGGTAGTTATTTTTTAAAAATTAAGAACCTATATAAGGAACTTAGGGCATTATCGCCATGATAACCAGCTATGTCAGAGACAATGCACAAAAATATTGTTTAGAATTGTACAATTGCTAATTTTCTCTGTATTCAGATTAAAAATTGAGAGTGTTTATGTTGAAAGACCGGATTTTATATAAGGTATTCCTAAGAGATTAGAAAATAAATATTTTATATATGAAGGGGTTATTAAACGAATTCATGATCTAAATTATCTTTTTATATTCACAATATTTTGATAGTTGGTAGTAGAGCTAAATTAATTTAAGTTATTCTTGTTAAAATTTATGAAAGAAATGCCTTTATGATTCAATGGGAGGGTGTAATTTATAATAGGAAAAGATAGCCAACGAAGGCGGCGAGAATTTTTCTATGGCCGTAGGTATAGGTTTTTGAGAAGGGTTTGCATCCAGTGAAAATCCTGTCATGTAGAGGCTGCCTAAAACGATCAGAAAAAATATTGAATTTTAATTTCTTAATGCCAAGATAAAAGACTTGATTGTCTAGATAAAAAAAATAATATATTGTTCAGGTATAAAACTGAAACGTTTAGATTAAAAAAAATTGAATAACTTAAGTTCAAAGAAAAATATCTGTGGAAGCAAGGCAAATTCTGAGATTTTTAGTATTTTTTTAAAAAAATTCTGATCAAGTGTTTCTTTAATTCTGAGCGAGATAATATAACCATAAAATATTTCTTACTTTTTAAATTTTGTTAATGAATAAATGTAATAAAATAATTGCATTTAACAAATCCACTAGTTATAATTATAATACATAATGTAAGGTAAAATAACCAAAATTAATACATATATTTTTTTAAAGTTTTAATTTTCTAAATATTAATGTTTTTTGATAAATAATATATCACTTAATTATTTTTTTTATATAATTAACCTAAAAGTAACGAAGTCTATTTTAAATCTAGTTGCTTAAATGCTCCTTTTTTGAAAAGTAACGATAGTGCGATACTCTTAAGTAGGTAACGGTAGAGCGCTTCTCTTAAAGAAATAGCGAAGAGGTAGCTGTAGAGCACTACTTTGGAAAGTTTAACGTTTAACGAAAATACTGCCCTTTTAAAAGGTATAAAATGCTATAAGTGTTATAATAATAATTCATTTTAAAAGGAAAATTGTATAAACCATGGATCCGCGGGTAAGAGCAAAATTGTATAGCTTAAAAAAATTCGGGTCGGCAGAGACTCGGGTCGAGTTTAAAAATAATTAAATATATAAATATCAGAGTTGTTAAAAGATACTTTTAAATGGATCTACATATAGATACATCGTCTAAAATAATATCTACATACAGATATTTTAATTATAAATGTATATAGATACAGACCACATTTTTATATCTAGATACAAGTATCTAGATCCTCTGATATATATATATAACCAGGGTCCGATTTAAAATTAAAATCTCTACGGTGCCTCCGCTATAAATAATACATAATTTCTATTTCTTTACCTTCTTGTGAAAAACAGAATTGATGGATATTCCTTTTAATAAATTTTGAAAAAATATATTGTCTTCTTAAATAGTTTTGAATGAAAATGTTTGCCTTAATGAAGAGTTAGTAAAGAATATTATAAATAATACAAAATATTGTTTGTTAATAAATATATAATTAGTTAATAAAACATTTATTTTATGCCAACTAATGTATATTATTTATTTTTTTTGTAATTTTAATAATAATAACAAAAAATAATCATAAACATTTCTTAGAATATAGAAAGAGTTGTCACTGAAAGAACGGAGGAATTGAATTTTACAAAGGGAATAATATATTCCTATTTGCCTGTGCAAAGGGTAAATATATCGAATCACTTCTCGTTTAAAGTTTTTAGATCAAATATTTGTGATAAAAAAATTTTAAAACACGCAATACGATTAGTGAAGGCTTACGGTCCTGTCTTTGGTCCAAACCGGGACGAAACACGCGGACCAGGTTACGGTACTCAAATAAAAGACCAGTTCAACCCGTAGTTTCAAATTAAAAGGTCTCATGGCTGGTCTTTCAATTATTTTTTGTTATATTTTTTAAAAAATAAATTTACGTTTTCTCATAATAAATAATAACAAATATTCAATTTTAAATTAAATCGCTATTTTTTTTTGACAAACTGAATCTTAAAAACAAATAAGGTAGCTCCTCTAAAAAAGTATTATATAAAATAAAATATAATTAAATATTTTGTTGTATAAAAAGGGTGGGAAGGGGGAATATTGTAATAATATAAGCACTAGATAATTGCAGATAAGTATTATCTATAATAAAATGTTGGTTTGAACGAATCAAACTATTTACATTAGAATAATAAAATTTGGTATTTGTGTTCGATTCTAATTTTTCGTTGAAAAAAAAATTAATTTTTTTTTAACCATATACATCAAATTTTTAAACATTAAAATTATTATAATAATCTGGTGACAAAAAAACATGCAATTAAATTATTAACGAATGCGTATTAATTCAATTTATAAATGCCAGGCCAAATTTTATGGCCAAAAATTTGTCATATTAATAAAAAAAATTTTAAGGACTGTCCCAATCAATTTTTTTTAACCGTATACATCAAATTTTTAAACATAAGATTATTATAATAATCTGGTGACAAAAAAACATGCAATTAAATTATTAACGAATACGTATTAATTCAATTTATAAATGCCAGGCCAAATTTTATGTCAATTGTATAATTAGCTAAAAATAAAATTAGTTTTAGACACACTCGCGATAAGAATGAAATATTTCACTTCGATACTCCTACTGCTTGTGGTGGTAAGTTTTACTTTTTTTTAACATAAATTATTGGCCAAATTATATTTAATTAAAAAGAGATGGATAAATTTTACATCATTCATTTATTTAATAGGTTTTGGCGGCCGCGGTGTTGCAAAACGCTAAAGTGAGTGCTCAATATTATCCATTCGGTTATTATGGGGGATATGATGTTCCTTATAATGCCCATGCCATAATTATCGCTATTTGAAGATTTGTTCATTCTTATATATAATATAATTATAACAATTTTGTGATTAATTTATCGTATAATAATCAATAAATTTATCATACTTTTTTAATAAAAAAAAAAGTAGATTAATGCATAATATTTAGTATTGCTAGAAATATTCTTGTAGATATTTTTTTTTATTTAGATACATTTAATAAATAATATTATATTTTACAGCTGATTTGGATGATGATCTGAGTTTTAATAAAAACCTGGTTTTTTATAATACAGATACACTAATTATTATTTTTATAATTTATTTATTAAAATGCATTTCGAAAATATATATTATTTTGCAAATGCTTTTGATGATAATCTTAGCCTGAATGAGCATATAGGTGTTGTTGTACGACTTCATGATATCCCACGTTTATATAAAACTTTTTTTTAAAAAACTAATTTGGCTAATCTAAAGATAATGGGTGAGAAATTATCTACGTGCTGAATAGTGACACTAACCCTGTATATATTTTTATTAGAAGAGCTTCCTAAAATTATAATATAAATCTTGAGGATAAATTATTTTATGTGAAGAGAAAATATTTAAAATTTTTTCTTATATTTGAAAAAAAATAATTCTTTCTTTTCTTTCTTTCTTTTCTTTCTTTCTTTTAAAATTCCTGCATTACGATTCAATTTCTAATTTTTTTTACAATAATTATATTTTTATAGCCAGTATAAAGCCAAGTTTTAATTTTGTAAAATTATTCAAATATTTTATATAGCTACCGAAGACGATAATATTCAAGAACATGCACAACAAGTAACAGATGCTGATTTCACGATGTAACCTCATATCAGAATTTATGATGTTAAATAAATTGATAAAACAAAAACACTAAAAATCTTACAATCATGCAAATATATTGAAGCCAGGAGTTAT